CTATAAGAGACTCTGGTTACAATTTATCGGAGTTTTGACTTTGTTACTTTGAAGGTAACGCGAAGTGAATGTCTCACAAATTTATTCATTAATAGATTTATGTGAACTGAACTGAAAACTCATTTTTGTATAAACCCGGTACTTTGTACTCGTACCCCATTTATATGAACTGAAAACCCTTTTTTGTAAAACCTGATACTTTGTATACGTACCCATCTATATGAACTGAAAACCCCTTAGTAATGAGTTTGAAATGTAATTGAAACATAAACTATACAATTATGGTTTATCCTAACTATTTGTAATGTATATGAAACATAAACTATACCTATTATAGTTTATCCAAAACATTTGTAATACAAATTAACCCTATTTTATGTGAGTCGAATGTATCGCAAAAGCATAACTATGTTTATCATGCCTTATCTTGTATTATTTGTAATCACAAAAGACTCTTACAAATCAGTGAGTATTTTCTTTTATACTATTATTCCATAACGGAAAACATAGGTAAAATTTGAAGCCATCAAAGATTAACACTTTGCTCAACATGTTACAAAGTGTGATGAAAGTTGTAATTTGTCAACTTGTTTTTAACATTTCTGCACTGTTTTGGAAAACTCACAGAAAAATCATACGAAGTCGAAAACTGAATCCGTAAACTCTGGGAGTTTAGAAAATGTGTCTAGTTTGTTCATCAACTTTATCATGATTTTTATATGTTTCTAACGTGTGTGAAAATGTCCATATTCACAGACTGGTCTGGATTCGTAGCTACAGTGATAGGCAGTTTTGTAAGAATCACCAAAAATTGTAGAAAACTCGTATGAACATGTGCAAGTAGTCATTTTAAAGGTATAAACCTGAAATATTTGCATCTATTACATTTTTGAAAACTAAAATGTTTAATTTGACCAAAACCGTCCGAGAATGGAGTTAAACTTTTATGACAAATGTTGTTGGATGAGTTTAGTTATGTTGTTGGTGTTTTAACTTGTATCCCCCCCATAAAACTTAAGAAAACATGAAAAGATAGGGGTATGAACTCACCTTATGTGTTCTTAGTTGATGGATGTTGAAGAAAAGGAATGTTCTACCCAAGAACACTTAGGAGAATGCCTTGAAGATTCGAGAATCTAACACAAATATGATGGAGTTTGTGTAAGAAGTCTATGATTTGAGTTAAAAGGAAGTGTAATAATCATTTGAAAGATGATGATACTTACCAAATGAAGAAGAGATGTCTTGAAATAAATCCTTGGAAATCTCGGAATTGAAAGAGAGAAGTTGAGAGAAAAGTGTTTGCTCTTTGGGTGGAAATGAGAGAAATGAGCGAGAATGAGGAGAGAGGGTGAGTTTTCCAGCTCTTAGAATGTGATTATGGCTGGGAAATCAGGGTAAAAGGACTATGAAGTGAGTAGGGATGGTGGCGAGGGGTGTGGGTTGGTCATGGAGTGGGTATGGGTGGTTGCTTGTGTCATAAACTAAAGAAAAGTCAACACTCCACCTCTTGTACTTCACCCACTCTTCTTGGATAAGATTCATCCCCCGAAAACATGATTAATTAATAAATATGGGGCCTTATATGTTCAAATAAAGTTTTGGGTGAAAATCCCGCGTTAAAATAATTAAAAACGGGCGTAAAATGCAAAACTAGTCGAAAACCGGGTGAATTTCGCTTACCTGTGAGACCTCTCGCTTCTGGGCCGAGGTTCTGTCCTAATGTTGCTGGGCCCGAAGGTGAAATGGAGCAAAGGGGTAAGAGACGAAGGAGAAGGTAGGGTTCGGTCCGAGAGGACCTTCGGGTTCGGTCTATGCGAGGTTCGGTTCTCCTCCTCAGTTCGGTTTCTTAGGTTTCGATCTAGGTAGTTTCGGTTCGTAGGAGGTTCGGTTCGGTCCCTATAAGGACCTTTAGTTCTAAGGAGGGTCCGCTCCTTAAGAGAGGGTCTTGACTCCTAAAGGCTATTTTACTCATTTTTGCCCCGTTTGAAGTGCTTTTTGACCCGGTTAAGGATCGGGATGACCCGAATGATTTCAAAAAGGTTATTGGAACTTCTGAGAGAGATTTAGGAGAGATTTTTAATAGAGAGAGATAGAGTGAAAGAGATTGGGAGAGACTTCTTTTGTCACCTTTTTGAGTGCTTGGCTCCGCAACGCAAGGTCTGTAAGCCCCGTTAAGCCATGTTTAAGGATCTTACGCACTCCCGATGAGTATGTAGCATTGTTTTATCGGTTTGGTTTGTTACTTACCATAGTTTTAGGTTAATGAAATTTAGATATACGAATTTTTTAATTGATGATTTCTCATTAGCATAGCGAGTTGTATAGTAATTACCTAACATAAGCCCTAGTACACAAGGGTTAGTTGAGTTGACCGGTTTGACTTGTTGACTTTATTTGACATTGACTTGACCAGAATTTGAGGGTTATCACATTATCTCCCCGTTAGAAGGAATTTCGTCCCGAAATTTGTATTTTGTTTGGGACTTCAAGAGCTCAGGAAGAGATGTGGGTATTTTTGTTTCATTTGATCCTCGCGTTCCCAGGTGAACTCGGGTCCTCGCATAGCATTCCAACGAACCTTCATGATGGGAATACGACTTTGTTTCATTCTTTTGATCTCCTGATCCATGATTTCAATTGGTTCTTCCATGAATTGGAGACTCTCATTAACTTTAATTTTGTCGAGGGGTATCATGAGAGTCTCGTCGGACATACACTTCTTTAGGTTCGATAAAAGGTAGGATGTACTTGATTTAGTTCTTGTGGTGATCGGAGTTTGTACGCCACTGGGCCAATCCTAGTAGGGATTTCGAATGGTCCGATGTACATTGGGTTTAGTTTCCCACGCTTTACTGAAATCAGTCACCCAAGCTATTAACATGTCGCCCAAGGTTTGAACAGTCCCTTCTGTTATGCCCATCGTTTTGCTGGTGGTAGGCCATACTCAAGTCTAGCCTAGTTCCCTGTAAGGGTTTCCAGAGTCGCGAAATGAATCTACTATCTTTGTCAGTAATGATGGATATTGACAGACCATACGGTCATAAAATCTCTTTGATGTACATTCTAGTCGATTTCTTCCTCTTGCTGGTTCCTTTGATTGGTAGGAAGTGCGCGGATTTGGTCAACCTAACAACAATTGCCCAAAGGGTATCGAGACTACCCTTTGACTTGGATAATTTGGTTGTGAAGTTCATGGTTATCCGTTTCCACTTCCTTTCGGTAATCATTTGTTGTTTGTAGGAAAATCAAAGACTTCTGTTGTTCTACCTTAACCTTGGCACAAGTGTGATACTTTCCTATATGTGTAGCGATGTCAGCTTTCCTATTCGTCCACTGATGTTACTTTTT